CGCACGCTGGCCCCGGGCCATCCGGCAGTCCTTAGTGCATTAACTAATATCAGGGCTCAACAATAAGTTAGCAACAACTAACAATGAAGCATATTTTTAATTAACTAATGTTAAAGATGATTAAATATTACAGTTACTGTATCGTTCATCGTTTGATCAAATCAGCTAATACACACTGTAAAAAAGTCTTGGTTCCACACTATGCTTGTGTTGTCCCAACACAAATTGAATTAAGTTAGCTTATTAGTTTTTACATATATAAGTGGATTGAACATAAAACAATTAAATTGTTCCCAAAAAACTCAACAATTGTGTTGTTTCAGCTCAATTTAAATAAGTAGTTTGAACAAATGGCAAATGGCATTTTTGAGTGCAGCAACATTACCTGGAACCTTATTTTAAACTGTTACTAAACTAATTAAATACTGTAATAAAAGCATTGCTCGTTAACTTCTGTCAACTAACGATACCTTGCTGTAAACCGTTACCCATGTAACAACCCACTTAAAAAAAATGGCATTAGGAACGAATGCTTTCATGAACAATTTCTTTACTTTAAACAATCACACATCACAATCTCACTCAACCTCTTCTATCAGTGCACCTTTACCTCTACTTTTCCCCCGTGCTTCGTCCAGCAGTTTCCTGTCCTCTTCTAATGTCTCTCTCTCCACCTCCCTTCTCTCAAAGTCCGTCCACACACTTCCAGCCAATCTCCTCAAAACCTCAGGATTCTCCTTCACCCAAGACTGAAAGAACTCGCACTTCTTTCCAGCTTGAAAAAAACCCTGTCTCATCCTCTCGTCATCATCTTTAGCAGCAGCCATCTTTGCCTTGCTCAATGCCGAGCGCAGCTGCGACAAAGCAGACAGTGTGTATCCCTCAGCGTCCTCTCTGCTCCGTCCCGTCAACACATGAGCCACCGCTTCCACAGCTCGAATAGGAGCTGAAGAGTCTTCTCTGTCGAAATATCCACCAGCAGATACAGATCTAATCCCAGCATCAAGAGCCTCCGGGACAGAGTTAAAGACCCGTCCAGCACCCAAGAACTCTGAAATGGAAACCAGCGCCTGACTAAACTCCAGCAATGTGTCGGAAATATCTCCATTGAAGAGACACAGAGAGAAAGTGTATCCGTAAAGAGCGTTGATCAGATTGAACTGCACTAGAGGAGACGGATTTGATGTTAGCCTGTGAAGAGGGGGGATTTTAGCACTTATTGGAGGAACTGCTGATTGTTTAGCATCGCTAGCAACTTTTTGGGGTTTTCCTTTTTTCGCAGTGCGCACTTCTACTTGATTTTCAAAGCGAAGTTCTTCAATCAGGGTTTTAGTTTCTTTCTCATGTTGCTCCCACCAGGGTCTCCACAGGACAACCATCCCAGCGATGCCACCAACTTTTAGCAGATTCTCAAATTTCTCCTTCTCCTGGGTGGACAACAATGACCAGAGCTGCTCTTCAGAAAGAGAATCAACATCCAATCCAGCTAACTTCTCAGCTAAATCTTCATCATCATCATCATCATCATCATCGGCTTCCTCAAGTTTTGCCAGGATTTCTTGTGCCTCGTGACTGTTTTCATCTCCACCAGACTGAAGCTCTGCCAACTTGCAAAGCAGATCCAAAGCCTGTGCGTCTCCTTCAGTCACATTGGTTCCATCTAAGTGTCTTAAAAAGTTCTGCATCCCGCCCTCAGTGTCTGCGCTCTGTCTGAGCCGGAGGAGGATCTCCTGCATCTTGCTCTTCCCCTCTTCATCTGTGGCTCCTCTGGATTTGAGCTCCTGGAGCACAGACTCCTTGTAAAACTCCTCCGAGCATTTAGAGTGACTCTGACTCTTGTAACAAGCTAAACCGCAATACGGGATGTTGCACCTTGGGCAGGTGTAAGAAGACTGTTTTAATAAGCAAAGTCCACATGGTTTGATTGATGAGGGATTTCCGTCTGTGGTTGCACCTTCTGTACTGTTGGCAGGGGTGAGGAGAGTTTCAGAAGTGCCTCTCTTGGGGAGTGCGATCCCATCTTTGCTGGTAATTGATTCAGAGTGTGTTTCTGGCCAGTCGCTCAGGTTTTCCTCCTGCTTTGGTGTGATGTCGGTGAGTAACGAACGAACACACGCAGGGATTTTACGTCTGACAACAGGATCCATGAGAAGCTCATTCACTGATGTGTTTGTGTAGCGGTAATGATCTGCAAATTAAACAGATAAAAGCATGTGTAACCACAAACTATGACAGATATTTAATTTACAGATACTTAAAGGAGCAAATCTTTGTGAATATTTAAGGACAGACATACATTTGTTTAAACTTAATCATGTTTAGCACTTTTCACATTGCGGTCAATTTTTTTTTTTCTTTTTTCTTCGAATTATCTCTTAAGTCAGGGGTTCCCAAAATGTTCAGCCTGCAACCCCCAAAATAACAATGCCAGTGACTCGCGACCCCCACATTTCTTGGAGGTGGTTATAAATATACAAATATTACACACACAAACATAGGCCTATATAAACACGAGCACAGTGACAACACAAAAAGTGCAACAATCTAACATATAATTTTATATAGTCATTTATTTCTTTAATTTAATATCAATCTCACCTAATGAGACAGTTGGACACAATGTTTGCAGCACAATTCGGATCTTGGGTTTAATTTTGGAGAGCGCCAATCAGTGATCATCCTCAATGTTCAGTTGTGGCCTGTATTTATTCTTAATGTATTTGAATGCCATGAAGGCTTCAGAAAATGTAACCAGGTACTATAAAATCAATCTGCGGCAGCTGACACTATTGCTGTGTTGTTAATCTAACATTGGCTTTACAATTGCATGTTGTTTTTTATGTGACTATTAACTACTAATATTATACTCTGTGAGTTATGGATAAAATATGCTAATTCTAATAGTTTGCTGTAAATGACTCCGTCATTGTCTGCAACACCCACTTTGGGAACCACAGTCTTAAATTACATTAGTTTTAAATACATTAGTATTTAAAACTTTAACACAATTAATTATGATCATTTTTCAGAGAAACATTTTTTTTTGTTAGTACTGAACATGAAGGGTTTTTGTACATTTGAATTTTGAGGGAACACGAGTTATAAATTCAGAGGGATTTATTTCAATTCTCCTTCGTTTAAAACTTTATAAACACGTTAAAATGTACAATGTTAGCAATGTATTAACTTGCAACGGTTTTATAAAATAACAATTCTTCCAACTAAAACGGAGTCGGCATGTTAAAATAACATTACTTAAGATAATAGTAGGTTTTGGATGCATTATGAGGGTTTCTAAGTCTAAACGTTCATTAAACCACACCAGATTCAGATTATTTACACAACAACACTATTCCCAATAAACGGTGGGTTTTGTATTTTTTATATTACCTTGATGTGAGCATGGGCACTTTTCCCAGACACATTCGGAGAATGAAAAAAATGTAAGAATATTTTCAACAACGCGTGTTTATAAATATGCTTTTAGACCGCCGTACACGATAGAATGACGTTACTCGTCGCAAGTTGATGACGCATACCTTCCTTTGCTCTTCAACCAGCGGGGCTGCGCAATATTTACGCAGTAGATCAAATGATAAAGCTGCTAAAGTAGCTACTTTTTTCAGGGTATGTTGTACCCCTCAGCCCTATGCTATAACCTCTTCACAACCCTTTAAAGGTTTATATATTATATAGTTTTTAATTTATTTATTTATTTGATTTTTACATTATTATTTATTTATTTCCTTTTTTTGTTTCCTATATTCATGTGTTGTAACTGTATTACTTGCTTGTTTATGTATGTAAGGCCTAATTAGTATATTTCATTCATTTTCTTGGGTTGCAGCTGGAAGGACATGCCCTGCATAAACATACTCTGGATTAGTTGGCGGTTCATTCCGCTGTGGCGACCCCAGATTAATAAAGAGACTAAGTCGAAAAGAAAATGAATGAATGAAAGAATATATATACATATATATGTTTTTGCAGTAGATGGGTAAAATTATGTATTTACAGATTTTTATAAAGCAAACTAAAATTACGGAATTAAAAAGTTATGAAACAATGATTTCCGTAATAACTGTAAGTTGGATGTATTTTGTAATTGTACTGATTCAGTTATAGTTGTGGTGTAAATCGGTGGTTCCCAAAGTGGGTGTACAATGACAGGGGGTCCCTTGGTGATTTCCAACAGGAAAATACATTTTATTAAACTATTAAAATTAGCATGTTTTATCCATAACCCACAGAGGTTAATAACAGTAGTTAATGGTTACATAAAAAACAACAACATGCAAATGTAATGCTATCAGTCTTTCATGTATGTTTTTCATAGGACTGGTGTGTTTGCGTTAGATTAAGAGCACAGCAATAGTGTCAGCAGCTGCAGATTGATTTTATAGCACCAGGTTCAACTTTCTGACACCTTTATGGCATAAAATACATTGAAAATAAATACAGGCCAGAACTGAACATCGAGCATGATCACGGATTTGGAGTGTCTAAAATTAAACCAAGAACAGACTTGTGCTGAAAACATTGTGTCCACTAGTCTCATTAGTTGAGGTTAATATTAAATTAAACAAATAATAAATGACAATATAAATATTATGATTATTAGATTGTTGCACTTTTTGTGTTGTCAATGTGCTCGTGTTTATATAGGCCTATTGTTGTGTGTGCAATGTCTGTATATTTATAACCACCTCCAAGAAATGTGGGGGGTTGCGAGTCCCTGGCATTGTTATTTTGGGGGTCGCAGGCTGAAAAGTTTGGGAACTCCTGGTGTAAGTAACAGGTAGGCTATTGAGGAAATTTTCAGATCAAAATGTATGTTTTGGGTTCACTGACTATCCTCAAGATCAAGCACGCCTTCATTAGCTTTTATTTTCAGATCAAATTTCACATTCGTAAATGCTGTAAAAGTTTTTATGCCAAAATAACTTTGATTTTAATGTTGGAAAGGTCTACATCGGTCATTATTAGAGACTCTTCAGTTCTTTAAAGATTTAATTGCATTTTCCTCTTTGTCCCCTCTATTACAGATTTATAATGTTTATCATTTACTCTGAATTTGCATGTTTTATAATAATAATTATTCAATAATAAAATTTAATGTACAGAAAGAATCAAAACATTTTTCTTTGCAGACAAGTATTATGAACAGACATTGTTGGCAATATTTTACATTTATTTCTTTCAAATCAAAACAAAAGCACCTGATAAATGAACATGTTTGCTGTAAGTATTACCTTTTTAATACAAAGGCAACACAGTCTCTGAAAATGGTATGTTAGTGACAGTTTACAGTTTGTCCGTCTGTTTGAGCAGGAGACAGCATTATTATTATTATAGATTTCCTCCTCACTTTTTTAGTATTGCAGTTTAGTTCATTTAAAATCCCTTGTTCAGCAGCCAGTCCTTCAGCTCTTTATCAAACTGCCCTTTAACTCGGATGCTCCCGGTAATTTCATTGACTTGTGTTGGAGGATCTTTGCCTGTTAGCCCCAGCAGGAATTCCTTAACTTCCTTATTCAGGGCCTGGAAATGATGAATGTAGAGTTAACAGAATCATTTGGAGCATTGTACACTTACAGTACTTTTAAGGCCATGTGTAGCACTCACCCATATGTCTCCTTCAATCTTCCTGATCAGAGTGCTGTGCTGATTCCCATGCTTGATGTCCGAGTACACGGGTACGTTGTGCATCCTGGAGCGACGGATCATGTAAGGCAGTGACGGTGGTGTGTCTGTGTAAACATAAAATAAATGACAGTCTATCAGGCTGTTCACACTGCGCTTGACCCTGGGTTATCATCGTTTCATAAACTATATTTAACTCTGCTTAAAGGAAATTTTACCACTGCTTAAAACCCAGGGTCAGGTAATGTTACCAAACATATGTAATTATGCAGTGTTATATACCAGTATCAGGTCGATACTTAAAATACTTTATAAAAAAATGCTCACTCGTATCATACATGAAATGCTGATTTCACGAATCGATACCTCTCAATAGTAATTCACTACATGGATGGGATTAGTTGTCCTACCTGACTTCAATGTCTTAATGTACTAATTAATGTATTAAATATTAGTAGCTTAGTCTTTATAAACAATATATTAATAAAATACATTATTAACGAGTCTATCGGCTACTAAAGAATAAACCGAATCCGCAATATTATCCTTGTATAATGATCACACGGAAACAAGCTAGCGTTTATTTTCATCGTCATTTAAATGCCCATGCTTAATCGGTATTCGATAAGGGCAATGGATTTACAGGGTTATCAACAATGTGGGTATAGTTTTGGCTTGGAATAGCTTTCTGTTAAAGATTTAAAAAACCTTTCAAATTAATTGCACTTTCATTGAAATCAAATCTGAGAAGTATCAGAATCAGTACTCGGTATCAAAGAGTAAACAAATGAAAATACTCATACTCGTATCAGCTTGTAAAAAGTTGTATCGATTTATCCCTAGTTAGAATGTGACAGCAAGCAGCCATAGCTTAGGCACATGATTGGCTGTCAGCTGCTCATAATAAAGTTATTTAGGCAATCATGAAAACACACACACATCTTCATAAAATCAAGTGCATTCAGTGATTATAGATTTAGTATTTATAGATTTAGGAAAATAGGTCCAAACATTTTTATTATTTATTTGTATTATTATTTATATTTATATATATATATATATAATGCAGTTTTGCAAACCCCTTTGATTGACCTAAAATATTTACTTTACCTAAAAATTTGAACTTAAGAATTCAATACATTTACATGTCCAGGGTTGTCTGACATTCACATGATATTTAGGTAAAGAAATAAAACATTTAATTTTGTACCTAATTTGTGTTTTATTTGTTTACAAATAATCTAATTGACTATATTATATTTATTTACTTTAATTGTACATTGTCATGATGAAGTCTTTTAAGGGACTTACAAAAACCAATTTGGAATAAAAAATTGTTGACAAAACAACATGTTACATTTCTTTATAAATGTATATTTGAATCTTTATTTCAATTCTATCTGTCTATCCGTCAATCATCCATCCATCTATCTATCTATTCATACTTTTTCAAACTGTTTTAAACTAAAACTATTACCAACAGTCTTTTAAGCCAGCCTCAAAGTTTGTCGCAACAAACTTTAATCATCTAGTTTACTTTAATGTTTTATATGTACTTTAATTTTACATTTCCATGATAATATTGTCCTTTTAGGGACTAACAAACACCAATTTGGGAAAAAAAAAATGTTGTTGACAAAACAATGTGTTACATTTGTTTTTAATTTTATACTTTAATCTGTAATCAAGAAAACATTGATCACTTCTTTATTTGTAGTAAGTACTGGGCTATAAAAAGTCCTCTGAATGTAAGCAGTGAATGTAAGAAGCACAAATCTAAAGCCTTTATGTAAACATGCTATATTCATCCAAACAATAATGTAAACAATGACATATAAGCCTGGGTTAAGATTGTATAGACCAGAACAACTATTTAAAAATTTCCAGGATTAAATGTTAACCCTGGGTAGAGTACGAGCAGTGTGAAGGGGAAATGTAAAAGAAGAAAACCAAGGGCTCTCTTTATCCAGGCTTTAGCATAACATATGTTGGACAATTAAATGTCCTCATTAAATGCTCTCAAGGTTTAAAGACTATATTAATTATTCCTATTACAACTGTAGCGTGTTTACCTGACGGTGGGGTCCATCCTGAAGGCGCAGGTCCATCGTGTTTAGGAGGAGCTGGGATGCGTGAAGGGGGAATTAATCTCTCCACAAACCTGAACTCTTCTGTGGACTCAATGATGTCCCTCGATCCACCATCAGACCTGATTTCGGTCTGAAAGGACACAACCCGTCTTAATATAACACAACTTTGGATTTTAACATCAAGCTTGCATGACTGTCTGTTGTGACAAAAACAGTCCTGTGACATCTCAAGAACAAGTCATACACTGCAAATCTACGAGTGGCATCTAATGCACCATAAATTATTAAGCAACATGGAAAGATTATGAAGCAAAATAGAGTGTAATACTAACTCGTAAGCAATATCCAGTGCTCAGTGGACGTGTGGCTGGATTAAAAGCTCTGATAGCGACTCTAGCAGCCCGGCAGAATGTCAAAGACATGCTTCTGACAGAGGCGGACATTTTTCTTTGATACGGGAGAGAGAGAGAGAGGAAGTAAATATTACGTCACGGGTTTGGATAAAAAAAATATTGAAAGCAGAAAAACATTGATCCATAAATTAGAAGAACTCAGCAAAAACTTATTTTATTATATATTATCATGTTTTTCTTTCTTCTATGTTCCACAAAAATAAAACGCAATTCTCCGGAGGACTTTTAACTGGCATTATTAAAGTGAGCATGCGCAGAACACTTTCTAGAAAAGCGAAATACTTCAGTTCAGGCTGTTCATGTCGTGTTTTGTGCTCGTACGAATCCAAATTGATATCTGTAAGTACTCCTTTAACATACAAGTATTGTTATAGAGGTATTGTGTTGTGGTAAGGATTATGTTAAGCTAATTAAACGTTTGAATCCTCTCTGTTGTGAAGACTGATCATCATGCAGTTGTTTGTTCGCGGCCAGAGTTTGCACTCTGTTCACCTGAATGGGTCAGAGACTGTTGCCCATATCAAGGTAACTGTTAACGTTACTTTTTTTTTACACGTTTTCACAAATGGTTTATTAAAAAATGACTACATTTATATAATAATATGGCCTTAATGTCTTCAAATGTATCAGTTCTCGCTTTCACCTTTTATACAGATTGAATGTTAAGTTTTATTTATTAACACTTATCTACTTTGTTTAAAATAACAAACATTGCTAATTAGGTAATGAAAATATATTCCTTTTATTTATCTAATGTTTCTCAACCCATTGGCAACTAGTGTTTCTTGTTATAACCATATATTTCAGTTTGAAAAATCAAGAACTGAAATGTGCAGTGGCGAGAAAATATTTGGAGGTCATGTTGTATTATTTTGTTCTGTTCAGTTTATCCTGTTAGCTCTCTCTACATTATCCTAAAATATCTTGAATTGTAATAAATTCATGTTAAAGGCATTAATAAATTCATAAAACCAACTCTGCTTATATTTCAGGCTCAGATTGAAGCTTTGGAAGGTCTCGCCTGTGACGATCAGATCATTTCTCTCAGTGGGATTCCCCTTGAGGATGACGCTCTGATCTGTCAGTCTGGGATCGAGGAGTTCAACACTCTTGAGGTCTCATCAAGGCTTTTAGGAGGTAAAAATCAACCCCCTGTGGCTTGAGATTCTCTGTTATGCTATTGTTGTAGAGACTGACCTTAATTTGCGCTGGAAAAGTCAGAAACTTTGATTTATGAATATTTAGGTCTTATGTACTGCATACTTTTCATTTGGATGTTTTCATAAACACAATCTTTTCCCACCCAAAGGCAAAGTTCACGGTTCCCTGGCTAGAGCAGGAAAAGTCAGAGGACAAACTCCTAAGGTGAGACTACATGTAATTGCTGTCTCCCAGTTTGCTTTATAAGTGTGTGTAACTTTTTTTTTTTTTTTGGTGACAAAAAATTACTTATTTTTGAGTGTAGCATCTAGTTTTGTAAAAAAATTTTGACAGACTTTATGCAAATGCACGCACAAAGATATTTTTAGTACTCTTTAGAACACAATGTGTGCAAACTGAGATGCAGCAACAATCAAAAATATTTATAGTGTAGCTTTTATGTTAGCATGTACTTTTCATTGACTTCATGCTCTGTTGTTGATCCTTTCAGGTGGACAAGCAGGAGAAGCGCAAGAAAAGGACTGGCCGGGCAAAGAGAAGAATTCAGTACAACAGGCGCTTTGTTAATGTTGTCCCGACGTTTGGCAAAAAGAAAGGACCAAATGCCAACTCATAATCTTTTCAATATTTGCTACATTACTGCGCATTCCTGATGGGAAGACAGTGCAATGTAAAATGAGCATTTGCACTCTGATGTAGAATTTATATTTTGTGAGATGAAGTTTAATGTAGTGTGAAATAAAATGAAACTGTAAATCACTGGGAATCCTTAATGGTGTTTGTGGCAAGAATGAGGTTTTGTAAATTACAAATAAAAAACATTTAATCAAATACACTTGTCATTTGAATACGATTTAAATTCACAGCATCATGCCAATGTGGCTTTGCTGATTTAATAAAAGAGTCCATGACAATGTAGAAGATCAAGTCCAGAGTCATTTGCCTGTATCCTTCATTCCCACTCTTTCATCGATCACTAAGAGGCCTGAGGTGATCAAACCTGTGGAGGAAACAGAATAAAAAGTCAGCTTATTTCAGAGATCTTAAACCTCTACCGCATGGTGTTGCCATATGACAACATGATATTTATGTTCAATTCCCTGCCACTGTTTCTTTAAGACCAAGAGAAGACCTTAGGCTACGTTCACATTGCAAGGCTTGATGCTCAAATCAGATTTTTTTTCTCAGATCTGATTGTTTTGCATGGCTGTTCACACTGTTGTTAGAAATGTGGCCAGAATCAGATTTCCAGTGTGAACAGATTATGCTCCTAAACTGACCGGCATACGCAAAATTAGTTACGGACAGTCCAAAATGTCTAATTATGCGAACAATGTGTAGCTATACTGTAGTATGTGATCAAATAATGACTAATGTGATTATTGACATTTTAACAAACAACAGTTGTGTATTTCATGTAAAGGGTTGTTCTGCTACTACTAATTTGTATTTCACCATTTGAAACCTACAATAAGTCTCTTGTGATTGAAAATACTAATCATTTGTGATTTATGACAACCACGGCGTGAGTCTATCTGACCACAGGTGTGGTGAATAGGAATGGGAAGAGAACCGCGGTTTGGAAAAGACAAGGTTTTAAATCCGCCAAAATATTCTGCTATACTGTTCCTAAGATTTAAAAAATGTGATTTTTTGTTTGTTTGTTTTGTTTTTTAGGACAACTGTATTTCCAGCAGAAATGATTTCCAAAAATGTCTTTTTAAATTGCAAAGTAATCTGTGTTTGTGAAACTAATGAAGACAGGAGAAGTTAATGATTCATCTGAATTGTTTAGCCTAACATGGTTTACTGCTCCAAAATATTATAAATGTTTCACAAAATAAAATATTTTGTGTTCAAAGGGGAAAAAGTTTTTTTTTATCCAGAAATTTTAAAATAATATATTTTAGAGAAGTAATTACAATACCGTGAAAACGTGATATTTTATCCAAGGTTATAATACTGTCAGAATCTTTTACAGGCCCTCGCCTAGTGGTGAACTCAAGGGTAAATGAGCAGCGGCAAATTGAACTGTGAAAGCAGAGTTTGTTCATTTTCATATTCACATCATTTTTATATCCTAGTCGTTCATATTTGGTTCTGTAAATGTATTAATTATTTAAGTGAAATTAACTATTTTGTGTAGGTGTTTTATTCATTTTATATATGCAATTTTGGAAAAACTTTTTACGTTAAATCTGAACAATATTTTTCAAAAGGTTAATGGTTAATGATTGGTTAACCAGTTTAGCATTCAAAATGAACAACCAACTTTTTGTGCTAAAGTATTAGCCCTGTGTTCTATTCTAGTATCCTGCTGAGTAGATGATGTTTGCAGCACAGAATGATGACGCATGTCAATCTAAGATTAAGTAAAATTCACATGAAAACCTACATAACTGTTCACACTGCAAAACATCAGATCTGCTTCTGATTTAATACCACATATGAAAGTGGTATTAAAGTTTTCACATTGTCAAGACAAAAACAGATCTAAGTCACAAGTGGGCAAAAAAAAAAAAAAAAAATAGATTTGGGCCACATTTGCCTACAGTGTGAACACCGCCTTAGTTTAGCCAATGATGTGCTTAGGTTAAGTCACACGACTTGCAGGGTTTTCCGTGATGTGGTTTCTGACAGACTGTTGTTTATTGTTAGTAGTTGCTGAACGCAAATGAAAACGTTAATTAAAACAAAGGATCAACTCATGTTAGATCCATACGAAAATCTGAGACATCACCTCCAGTTATGATTTGATGACTGGATATGATATGATCCAGTATATTTGCTGTTGTATATTTGCTGAGTTATGATGACATATTCACAACTCAAAGTTTTCATCAAATTAGTTTTTTGTAACTCAATTAAATGTATGTGTTGCCAAATGGCAATAGTGGAACGCGTAATAATAATGCATAAGGTTAGTGAGCTAGCAAGATCAGCTTTGACCTTGGGCCTGTTTCAGAAAGTTGGTTAAGTGAAAACTTATAGTAATGAGAGAAAATCATTGCTTCAAACACCACTAGGCGTTCACTGCGTGTCTGCATCGTCTTCTGAGGTGAAAGTCTTTATTAAAGAAAGAAAAGATTCAGGCAGCTTCTCCTACCGCAGCAAATTCCATTTAGACCTTTTATATTTGGCGCCAGTTATTCAGGAGGTGTTGATTTTGTTCTTTTTGGCTCATTAGATGGAAACGCTGCTCTATTCCCACATATTTTATGCAATATTCCAGTTTTGTGCATACATTTTATTAGCATTTTTGGATGAAAACATATATATTTCCTTAACTTCAGTCACACAAAGAACAAAGTAAGGAGAATGGCTTGTAAAATAAATAATTATCTTAATTTTACTGTCCTTCTAGCACATGTGCTGTAACTAGATTAAAGGGATTCTTACTTATTCTAAAAACTATTTTTTATTAATGCTCACATTCTAAATGTCATATCAACCTCTACCACTTGATCAATAATAAAGGCAGACACGCAAGTGCACTGTGTTAAATCTATTAAAAACTCAATTTTAGAAATGTTACCTCAAGCTGATCATTGTGAGTAAAAGTGGGAACCTAAATTAACGTTTCCACTGAACATTAAGCTAAGGTTATCTGCATTCTTGTTTTGTCAAATTTGTTGTAGAAACTATCTAGTAGCCTATTTTATGTGATTTAATGCAATTACATCTGAAATAACTTCCAAATTACGGCAAATTCTCCACTTTTTCCAAGTAAAAGTCTATAAAAGTCACACATTACATACTTATTTTTTATTATACTTTAATATTTAAATACTTTAAATATTTTAAATGTGAACTTACGCATTAACTTGAGCAGCTACGTTTTCCCATGCTGTCTCTGCTTCGTTGATGCAGTGGTGTTGTCTTTTTAAATATATTATGCTCATGTTTGCTATAACTTTCAGAGTTCAGCTGGAGAGAAAAATGCTGATCTCTTTTTTTAGATGTTGCCATGGTGACTTGTAATATCAGCACTCCTATAATAATGCTTATTTATAGACGTGGTGAAAGCGCTTAACTCTGAATTAGTCCACTCAGTCTTGGTTGACCTAACTATCAGCTGGTCTGAAACTTGAGTTTAATCTCTCGGTAGGTGAACTCAGAGTTCAAGTTTAAACTCAGAGTTGGTTGAACCTCTTTTTCTGAAACAGGCCCCTTTTAAGTTGTAACAATAACATGAATGCTAGTTATATAATGTTGATTAGTCATGTGGTAATGGCATTTGCATTATGGATCAAATATAGTTTTATTGGCAATACTTTTGGTTAGAAATAAATACAGAGAACAGTGTGTTAGTGAGGACCACCATGTTTTATGGAAAGTGAAAGGAAAAGGACAGAACTGACTCTTTCTGCAGATGAAAGTGAAGATAAGATGGGTTTTAGTGACCATGAGAATGATGCAGATTGGACATTTGATAAGAGCAGTTATGGAGACAGTTCAAGTAAGTTAACTAAGAGGCAAATAAGACAGGTGTAGTACAGTATAATATAATTTATAAACATTGTTAGCTAGTAGCTGGGCCATTCTTCAACTACGGGCACTTTCAGCCTTGTGAAGTTGAGTAAAAAAACTTGTTCAAAATTAACGTAACATAGCCTCATAAGTTTAAACAATTTGTCTAGTTTTAAGATCTGTAAAAGGACAAACTTGGATAAGAAGAAAAACATTTTTTTCATCATGAACTGAACAAATGTCAATTCCACCACATCTCAATATACGGCTAATTTCAAAATGAAAATTATGGCAGGCAAACATTGTCTACAATTTATTGTGGAAAAAAATGAAAAATAGATTCACAGCTTAGCTTTGATCAAGCTTTGAATTGATACTGGTCTTTCATGTAACACTCTTATTTACCTTAATTTTATTTGGTTTTTAAAACCATCTTTAAAAGGTACAGCATGTTTGGAAATGACGTAGAATAAATGTATTTCCTTATCCAGCAATACTTACCTTGATTTTTCTTCAGGTTTTGTTGATGAAAACTTAAATTCCCTCCATCTTGAACATGTTGTCAGATGGCACTATTCATTTTCATAGAAACCAGCTAAATAATCTTTCACGACATTACAATGTTGTGGTGGAAATGACACTGATACTGTGCGACAGCTATATTGTGTATAAAAAAGAAAACTGATAAGAGTCTCACATTAATAACTATAAAACATTTAGATTATTTCACTAGTGCTATAACTTTCCAGATAAATGTTATTTTAAAATGTTATTTTCGTTATTGAAGTTTAAAACTCTGGGTGTGCGGCAAGGAGAAAACAGTGATTTTGACACCTAAAGGATGTTGAATATGAAAAAAATTAAATAGAAAGCTGGTAAAAAGATTTTAAAGTAGGTTTTATTATTAGTTTGACAAATAAAGAGGAATTTGAACAAAATTATTCATATTTTTGGATATATGATCAAAGGATATAAAAGTGCCCCTAGTTGAAGAATTACCCAGCAGCATTATTCTGATGCATCTGGATATATTAGACTTGATATTCATTTGTTATAATATTTACTGGAGGAAATATTTATACCACCTGTATACATGATAATACAGTATTGCGTTTGTTTTTAATAATATTTAGCAATATTAAAATAATGCAATTATTGAAAGCTGTTGAAAAAAAAAGTTGTTTGGAAGTATATAAGGTGTCATTTACTAATTCTGTGTTAAAGCTTATAAAACTGCCACACCAATTAAATCATTTTAAACAACAAAATCATTAACTATTGACTTCCAAAGCAGGGAAACAAATATTACAGATGCCAATTATTACAGGTTTTCAGCTTTCTTCAAAATGTCTTCAACAGAA